AACCCAAGAGCCTAAGTAACCTCATTACAGAGTATTAAAACCACCAAATGCCACAGCCAATCAGTTCTGCCCTGCGCAAATGGTTTTGATCTTTTCTAGACTAGATGCTTCAGAAAGCAAACTTGAATGTGACTGAATGGGTCTTAAAAAGCATTAGGTTCTAATTAAGAAGCACCCATGAAAGATAAGGCCACCTTCAATCTGGTGTCTTGCCAACACTTAAGATGTTTTTGCTGTGTATGATGAATGCTATAAACAGTTGTTGGTATGGAGCCCTGGAAAAACCCAGGGTTTATATAGAGTTCCTTCTCTGGCTCCAGACTCATTCTGGCTGTTTAGTCCTGAAGGCTGTGTGGGGCACCACCTCTGATCACCCAGGGCAACAGGATCCTTGGTGGGGGGTGGAGAAGCTCCATCCCAGCAGAGCTGCCTGTCACCAAGGAGAAGGTGGAGTGTGCCAAGGAACAGTCCCTCACACTGGGTGCCAGTTACATGAGGGAGGTAGGAGGGAGAGTCTGTGAGTCCTCTGGGTTGCCTGTCTCCTTGTCATTCTGCCAATTCCTGCAGCCTGGAACCTTGATCATCTACAACTTCTCTGAAGCTGTGCTTTCAAGAGTTCTCAAACATTTCCCAGTCGGCAAGCCAGGAGCCTTACTGTCCTTGATCCTCTGTACTAGTGAACATAGCTTAGTGCACCCTTCTTGAAAACCCCCTTGTTTGCCCGATACCACCTGCTCTTAAGTGAGACATTAAATAGGGGAGCAAGGCACCCAGCTCTGAGTTTGACTGCTAGGTTTTGAGCCCTGGCCTTCTCCTGTGTGACTGTGGGCAAGTTCCTGAGCTTCTCAAGTCTCGGTCTGCCCAACCTTCTGCAAGGATAATAACAGCACCCATGGCACAGGGCAGCTGTAGAGATTAAATGATATAAGCCCTGTAAAATGCTATATGCTTGACACATGGCAAATGCTCACTCAGTTTGATTATAAAATGGAGTTTAAAATGGGTCTACTTAAAAGTGTTGTTAGAAAGATGCAGTAAGTTAATAGAATGTACATGTAAAAAGCTTAGAACAGAGCCTGACAAACAGTTAGTGTTCAGTAAATGTTTGCTATTGTTCTTACTACTAGTGACCCCCAGTTCCAGATTGTATGCAGTTGCCCAGATGTCCCTTGTTATATTAAGCTGTTTAAGACTGAACTTTCTTGCAGTGCCTTCTTCCCCAGGCCCCATGAACTCAAACTCTACCTTCCCTGTGTTCTCCATTCAGTTGGCCCCTGATCATTCTCCTGTCACCCAAAACCTCGTCCGTCCCTTACCCCCTGCACAGCTCCTCCTGCCTCCTCTTGGTCTCTGGAGTATTCTTCCTGCCTGTCACCACTGTTTGGCCTTCCTTTGGGCCACTCAAGTTAACAGCTCACTGGAAGCAGAAGCTTCCAAATACACCTCCCACGAGCCATTCAGCCCTAGGCCCCTTCTCACATCCCAGATATTCCCTGCTCCCCTCTCTTCCTCCAGAGAGGCCTCCAAGACTCAGCCAGGCTTTCTCTCCTTCAGATCCTGTTACCACCTGCCCCTTTACTTTTCATTTTCTTGCCTGATCATGGACTATGGGGTCAAGCTGACTTGAACTTCAATCATAACTTAGTCCATACCAAGTATCACCTTGGGCAAATCACTTAATTTAAAGCTCTTTTTTTAAATTGAAGTGCGGTTGATATACAATACTATATTAGTTTCACATGTACAACAGAGTGATTCAACATTTACATACATTATGAAGTGGTAGAAGTGATTACTGAGATGCAGCTAGCTACCATCTGTCACCATATAAAATTGTTACCATAGTATTAACTCTACTCCCTCTGTTGTATGTTGTATCTCATGACTTACATATTTTAAAACTGGAAGTTGGTACCTTTTAATCCCCTCCTCAAGCTACACCTCTTCAGTTTCCACAATTATAAAACGGGCATAATCCAAATGAAACTGGGCTTTCTTGTTTCCACTTTCAGACTCATCATAGCAGCATGTGGCATTTGCATATGTATGTGAACCTGCAGAAATACACTGGTTTGCTTTGATAAATAAATATAAATGGAATCTTATGATTTGTATCGTTTGCAACTTGCATTTTCTCTTAACAATATTGTAGTAATGTACTTGAAGGTCTCTTGTCGTCAACACTTAAAGATCTTTCAAACTACTTCATGATAATAGAAATGATGGCTATCACTTCACCAGTCTGTCATTGTGTGCCAGGGGCTGTGTTAGGTACATCCTGTATATTATCTGTTTTACTCCTGAAGAAAGCCACGTGAAGCAGATACTAGTATCCTCATTTTACAGATGAACAAACCAGGACACAGAGAAGCTGCTCAAGGTCACACAGTGAGTGCTAGAGCTGAGACTGGAACCTAAGCAATATACTCGAAAGCCTGCAGGCTTAACTACTACATGGCTGTGCTCCGTCACTAAAAATGTTTTGCTGAAGATTTTCATGAAGACAGCACCCAATAGGAAGTACATCACACAATACACAATACTAGATCCTAAAAATTCCTTAGTTTCATTTCTCTCTCTCTTCCCAAAGTCCAGAATCTCACTGCAGCCACTCATCTCCCCTTCTTTCTCCCCACAAATTCTGTGGGTTCATCTGGCTCTTCCCTCTCTCCTCCTGCATCTCAAAGTATTTCTTAAGGGGGCAACCCAAGGTATCTCTTATTAATGAGCCTACTCCATTTATTAGCTTCTTCTGTCTCTAACCGCTCTGGCACCCTACTGATTAAAAACAACCACTTTCTGTGGGACTCTCCCACTTTCTCATGCAACATTTACTCAACAAACATGTATTGGGCAACCTCTACATGCCAGGCATTGTTCCAGATGAAGGAGATAAAACAAGAAGCTAATCAAAGATGAATCCCTGTCTTCATGCAGCTCAGAACATGCTGGTAGAAGGAGAAAAACAATATACTGGAAAAAAAAGAGTAAAATAGGGATGAGGTTAGATAGTGATGAGTGATAAAAGGAAAATGAAAACAGGGAAGGAAAATTGCAAATATCAGGTGAAGGTTGAAATCTGGTTAGGGTAGTATAGGAAGGATTCTCTGAGAGAGTCATACTGAGTGAAAACCTAAACGAAGTTGTCACAGGTTGTATACCAAGGGAAGCAGAGTCTAAGACTGAGATGAAATGGAGGAAGTTTATTAGGGAATGCTCACAGGATCTCTACCTTTTAGGGAGGGGAAGGAAACAGGATTGGATGAAGGAAGTAGTTGGCCTGGGGAACCATTATGACAGCACCTCAGCTAACACCCTTCCCCCACACGGCACTCTGAAGCTAGGATGACACTTGGATTGCCCCAAGTTGGAATGAAAGAGGTAGACCTTTATTCATCTACATTAACCAGGCACTGAATGCTTGTTGCCCAAAAAAGGAGGATTGACCTTATGGGACTCTCTTCCAGTGGGGCTAATTCCAGGAGAGAGCCGACAGCTGAGAGCAGACATCAAACAACCCCTCCAACAGCTGGGTTAATAAGTCAGTCAGTCCTGGGAGGGGGTCTCTAGGTCACACATCACAGCATCTGGAGGAGAGATAGAGGAGTAAACCTTGCAGCTATCTTGGAGAAGAGCACTCTAGGCAAAGGGAACTGCAAGTGCAAAGGCCCTGAGGTAAATGAGATAGGGATTCCCAGAAAGCAGAAAGACGAACATAATTAAAGCAGAATGAACAAAGGGGGCAGTTGCAGGAAATGAAGTCAGGCCAGAAGCAGGAGCCAAGTCATTATAAGGTTTGGGGTTTGGCCAAGAAGCAACATGATTTAAATTTTAAATTTAATTTAGTTTGGCTGCTATGTTGAGAACAGATTTGGCAAGAAAGGAGTTGAAGGCAAGTGGAACGCAGTTCTTCAACCTCACCCCACTGACATTTGGGATAATTCTATATTGCGGGGGCTGTCCTATGCCTTGTAGGATGTCGGGCAGCATCCTTGGACTCTAACCACTGAGCACCAGTACCACCTCCCTGCCCCGGCAAAATGTCTCCAGACATCGCCAAGTGTCCCCTAAGGGGGACAAATGCCCCCATTCAGGCCCCTTGAGTTAGAGGCTGTTAGGGTGATCCAGGAGAGAATGATGGCTTCAACCACTGTGATTTGTGGTGAGTTGTAGGACTCTGGATATATTTTGAAGACTGTTGACTGATTAAAAAAGAGTGTCAAGAAAAATTTCAAAGTTTTGGCCCGCGCATCTGTCAGAAAACAGTTATTTGCTGAGCTTGGGAAGCGTGGTAGAGGCGCTCTGTGGGAGATCAGGAGCCGAGTTTTGAACCTGACAAACTGAACAAAGTGGAGAATAATGATTAATTTAAGAGATTATCTCCTTCCCTGAGTTTTTTTCCCTTGTTTTGTTATGGTTTATTTTCACTGATATTTTCATGACGTTGTTTTTATTTTCCTTCTATGCTTTTTCATTAAATTTGCGTTCTTTTGTACCCAGAATTCAATCACTTCTTACCACTCCTACCACTTTCACTGTCCCCACCATTATTTCACTTCTAACCACCCCCAAGCACTCTCACCCCGCGTCTGGATTACTGTAATACCGTACTCTTTCTCCCTGTCCCTCCCCCAGCACTATTGTCGACATTGCAGCCAGAGTGGTGGTGTGAAAACTGAAATCACATCAGGTTACTCACTGGTGAAACCCGAAGCCCTACAATTGCCTGAATCATCTCCCTCTTCATCCCCGAGCACTGCAAAGTTTGGCTTTTACTACTAATATTTTAATTTACAAAAGAAAAAACGGTTTGAGAAATTACCAAAGGCCACTTAGAAGCAGCAGCGTCGGGGTGTGCCAGGCGCAAGGCCCGAACGGAGAATCCACTCGCGGCGCGTCTCGATCGCGTCACCCGCACCCCTTAGCCGGCGCTCGGCGGCGCCCAGGTCCCGTGGCTTCACTCGCAGAGGACTTCACTTCCCAGGATGCCAAGGGGCGGGGCGGGCCGGAAGGCTGTGTGCCCTCGCAGGATATGATGGGAGAGTAGGAGATATCCATCATGGCGGCTTCCATCTCGGGCTACACCTTCAGCGCTGTGTGTTTCCACAGCGCCAACAGCAACGCAGACCACGTAGGTGCCGGGCCCCAAGCCGCGGCCTCTGGGGCCTCCAAGCCTGCGTCTCGGGCCGGCGCCTGCGGCCATACCGGGCCCATTCGCGGCTCGCACCCCGGGCTCCCGGGCTGGCTGGAGGAGCTAGTGGACCCGGGCGGCTCCCGCCCCCGGAGAGCTGCTGCTGCCCGGAGTTCCTTTGCCCCGGGATGGGCCCCCTCCCTCGGTGCCCTCCGCCGCCTGACCGTCCCAGGACAGCCGTCTAACGTTAACAAAGCTGTCACGGTCAGCCACCGGCCGTGGCCGGAGTCGCTTAGTGGAAACTGAGCGCCTGCCCCCCCCCAACCGAAAGGCTTTTAGACTTGTGAGGGGCGCCCGGGGTCGGAAAGGAGCCGAGGCACCCGGTCCCGCCTGGCGCGCTGACAGGTTGTCGTGGGATGCGACGAGGGAAAGCTTGGCTGTCACTATCATACTGTTAGATGTGATCGTGTGTTTTCTTCGCCTCGGTGGAAAATGGGGAGTGTAAACAGTAGTGTTAGATGTAGGATCGACTTGCCTTAAGTTGCATGTTTAGTTCTTAGGCAAATATTCTAACCACGGAACTTAGTCGCAGTGAAATAGGGAAGCGACACGCGTAGGTATGAGTGACTGGAAATGCATGGGCATTGGAGCCCAGAGAGGGAGCAGAGCTTGTCTGCCTCAATGTCTTTATTTTACCAATTGTTTTTTAACGGCACTGGCGTCTGGATGGAAATTCTCCGTGAAACTAGATAATTTAATCTTTAGGCACATATTCAATTTGCCCACCAAATTGAGGGGGTAATTTTAAATGATGTAACAGTAAATTATTCAAATTCATTAAATAAGTGTGTGTGGGGGGGGGGGTGTTGTTGTTACAAAGCAAAATGATACACAGCAGAACAAACATGGATTTGGTTTGATGTCTAATCTTAGCTTCCATTAATAAAAACTGATTTCATAGATTCCATTAGTAAATTGGATGGCACTAAATTATTTTACCTTTCATATCGTCACAAACTTGATCGTAGAGACATTAATGATATAAATATACATGTGTTCTTCCAGAGGCAGCTTATGCCTCTGGACCTAAGGCTGATACTGCAGCCAACTTTTTAATAGTGGAATGCAGTTCCATATATAGGTGGTTTGTGATACACCTACTGTCCATGGGAGTATTTAAATAATGCTTGTTAAACCTCTCTAGTTCCTGGAGCACGTGGTAATACCACAGTATATGTATAAGGCAAGATTATTGTAAGAATAAGCAGCTACCTGTTGAAAACTGAATCATTTTTCTACAAACTTCAGTGAGATGACTATGTTACTTAGATTGTTATTAATTTAGTTCAAGAGATGACTCTTTAATATCCATGCTGTGCCAGGCATGGTGATAGACTTCATGGAAATTTTCACCAATGGCAACAGTTTGCAGTCTATCTTCTTTGTCCATACCTGTTTATACTAACCTTGTCACAATTATATATGTGGAATACTTCAATTTCAGTTTTATATATTTTAAAGTTGAAGAACCAACAGTTTGCTTTTACAGTACATCTTGTTTTGTCCGGGCAAGGAATTAGTTTAAAGCCACTCATTATTCTGTAGAACTAGGGTTAGCAAATTTTTTGCTGTAAAGGGCCGGATAGTAAGCATTTTAGGCTTTGTGATCCATGTGGTCTCTGTAGCAGCCTCTCTGCTGCTGTAGGGAGAAAGCCCCCAAAGACGATACATAAATCTGGGGGACTGTTTCCAAGAAAACTTCATGGATACTGAAATATGAATTTCATAGAATTTTCACATGTCATGAAGTCTTATTCCTATTTTTAAT